AATATAAATATAAATATAAATATAAATATAAATATAAATATAAACATAAATATAAATATAAGGAAGTCAAAATTTAAACAAGCAATAATCAAACAATACTTAAAAGCAAATTAGAACTCTTAGTCATTAAAAATTATATATAATCGTGGAACATAGTTTCTACCAGTTCACATAGATTTCTTTAACTTAATAATTAGAAGAATTTAATTAACACATCTCGTGCAAACACCAGCAAAATTTAAACAATCTAGATCAATCAAAAGGAATTAATAGTTACTTCTTTCACAAATTCATTTTTCGATCCAAATGCATTATGATAAATCTATATGCTGAATTGATATTTCTTAATAAGCCAAAATTATTCTTAATCTGTCAATATTTATTAAACCATAAAATGTTTCATTTAAATATTTCTATTTTCCAATTTATAAAATAAACAATAAATAAATAGTAGATAGATAGTATTGCTTTAGATATTTCGCCCTCAAATTATATTCGGTCTTTGAATAAGAACTTTTCTTTAATTATTAGATTTTTTTTCATTTATATCCCTTAATATTCAGAAGACGATGGAGACTATGTATAAGATTATGAAAATTTTCAATTTTCATGGAATTATATTCTTTATTAAAGAAAAATCTATCTATGAAGATAATATTGCATATTATATCTTTATTTATTTTTAAAGAATAAAATTTTTTTTCTTTTTCTTTATCATAAGCGTTTTTTCCCTGAAAAAGATAATACTTCGTCTTTTTCAGATTTTGAGTCTTTTTTTCGTATACGATTAATTGATTTAATAATAATAAAATAAAAAAACGATTAATTGATTTAATAATATTTCGATATAATCCATAACATGAAGATTGATTTATTGAATGAAGAAGTTTATTTCATAGCCTAAATCATATATTTTGATATTTTTTATTCTTTTATTTTTCTCACTATACATTATTTATCTCTCTTCGTACGTTTAAATAATAATAATAAGAGAATACTGCTATATTAAAGATAGAGCAATTCTGAGTAAGATGGTTTATTTTTTTGAAATAATTAATATACTAATTATCATTAAAATTAACTAATATCTAAATATCTAAAAATCTATCTATGTATATTTTTAACCATAAATACATGTAAATTTATAATATTAAAAAAAAGAATAAAATAAAAAAATAATTATAGATTTTGAAAAATAAAAAATAATTGAATTTTGCAGGATTATCTTATCTTGGTCTCAGACCAAATAAAAAATATATATTATAAAAAATATATATCATAAATAATATAAAGTATATATTATAGCTAAATTTATATTTTTTTATATAAATTTATATAATTTTTTTTTTAATATGAACTTTGAATTTCTCTTCATTGTTCATACTCAATAAAGTTCTAGGGATCTAGTAGTTCTAGGAATGCAATGAATGATCGATCAAAAGATCAAAAAACTTCAAATTTAATATATTTCATACGTGTAAAATGTGCTTGACAATCTAATTGAAACTAAAGTATTTTAAATCTGATACTGATCAGATGTCTTCAAAAAGTATGTAATAAGGTAGCAATATATTTATAATAAAATCAGCGTATTTATCCTAAATTCTCTTCAATAAAAAATGAGTCAATAATTTCATTATTTATGATATTGCACTATTCATTGACATACCATGAATATTGATGATGTACCTTAATTATTTGATTATTTCAATAAATCAATAATATGTATATTATAATAATATGTCTCAACTTCTTCATGATTTGTGAACGTTGATTCATCAGAAAATAATATATAATTAAATATGTAATTAATAATTTAATTTTTATTAAATTATTAATTATTATATTAATATATTTAATTATTAATATATTTAATTTTTTGATTTCCTTCAAATTATTATGAATTTTTCATTTTAAATCATTTCAATCAATGTGATAACGTTACTTAAGATAACAACATTAAACAATAATAAAAACACGGAATCCGAAACAAATAATATAAATACAAATCTCATAAATAATTTTAACAATTATAATTAACATTAAAATAATGATTATAAATTACACAGTGACAATCATACTGAAATTTCTCAGCAAACCGTTAATACTACTATAGTAAGCAAGAGACCATACTCTTCCTCAGCGAAAACAATAAGTTTCAATATTATAAAAAATAAGACAAAAGTTTTAGTTTTAAAATAATCTACTTTTGCGTTTAAACATACTATTAATGTTATCTATTTGTCTTATAGAAATAGACTTAGAAATTTAATATTATCAATTTTTTTCCGTTTATCTGCTTTATATAGTCGTTTCAATCACTTCCGTCATTCATTCTCTTATCATGTAACAAGTTGTAGTTTATTCTCACTAACAATGAATATAATTCCTATAGATCATTACTGTTTAGCTTGTATTATAAATGCTGCGATTGACTGTGCATATACTAATATCTAAATGTTGAGAAAAAAATTATGAATATAGAAATAAAGACTTAACACTTTAAGTTTTATTGAATCTAATACATTATCTGTTGGCAATGTTAAAAGAAAACATAAAAATTAATAAAGTAAATGCTTGAAATTTGAAACTTACTTACTTAGCATAAAATCATATTAATTATTAATATTAAATTATTAATTATTATTAATGATTAAAACAAAGCTATAGAAATTAATTTTATTAAAACATTAAATCCAGTATTTATCGACGAGCAATATTATAAGCAAAACTATAGAATAAAAAGAATAATGATTAAGAATTTAATATTTTATTTTTTCATTACTTATTGAATTATTATCCTTATCATTTTCGATCATTATCAGATATCTGCTGAGTTTGATAGCTATTCTAAAATTTTTCACTATTGATCATATAGAATAATAGACAGAACAATAAGAAGAAGAATAAAAATTAAGAATAAAAATAGCAACAGTGTGGATAACAATAGTAATATCTCAACATAGACTTTAAAATTTCAAATTTATTTGGTTAATTTTTTCATTTATAATTTTAGCATTGTTCTTACGTTATTACGTTAACGTGAAAATAGAAACAAGATTAATGATTTTTTTTATGATTGGATTATTTATTCGAATTCCCATATTTTCTTTTATTATTTAATTAACATTTATTGCTGTTATCAGAGAAGTTAAAATTTTAAATAAATTTTGAATAGATTAGCCAGAAAATTTCTTTTATGAAAAGAACGAAAAAAAGCAGTATTTATAGAGATATAATAATATAATAATAATAATAATATAGTAATATGGTATAAAATTCGTAGTGAATTTGGTGACGTAATGATTTATATGTGAAAATTATAAAAAAATTTATAAATCACACTATATAATTGCATAAATGCTTATTTATTATGCTTATTTATGCTTATTTATTAGTATTACTACAAATTAATGGTGCAATAAACATATTTTGAGTTTAATAATACACGAGTTTAATAATACACGTTGTTATGAAATATGTTCAATGTATTCGTTATTGTGTCGAATACATGCTCATGAAATACGAGATACATATACGAATGATCTGAAAGAAATAATTAGAAAGAGATAATTAAAATTGATTATTTGAAGTTCTTTGATTATTCTTCAGATATTTAAATTTGAATTTATTTCTACATTTTTCAATTTTTTTTGTTTTTTCTTATTCCCTAAATCAACTTTGTAGTTGTAAATATCAATTTACACCAGTAATTCCTAATCTTGATCGTAAAATACTTTTTTGGAAAATTATTTTTAATTAAATATTTATTTATTTTATAATTATTTAAATTTCTTTATTCTAAAGAATATGAGATTTCTTAATAAAATAAAAATGTTGATATTATTCCAATATTAATTTTTAAAAGTTTTCTTAGGATCTATTATTTTTTATAACTCAAAAAAAGATTAAGAAAAACAAATCTATACTGTTTTATCACATCTTTCCTCGATGTTATTCCAAAATATTTAATAATATTTTAATTAATTACCTGTGCAAAACCTTTGATGTTGCTTTTAAATAATTCTCCCAACATTTTGTATTGACATGGTTTCATGATATTTATCATTATAATCAATAGTAACTTTCTTGTAGCTTTGGTGCAGTATACCATAGACTATCATAACTTTTAATACAAAAAATTCAATTTATAAAACTGAATATTTTGTGCAGTATATTTAACCCTTTTAATGCTATGAATTTATTATAATAATAATTATTATATAATATAATATATTAATATTATATAAACATACATAAAATTATTCTTATATGCAAAAATGATTGGAAAATTGTAATAATTTCTTGCAATTTCTTTATTTTTATGCTGCATTGTTAATATATTGATATTGTTCTTATTGTTTTATGATGCTATTTTAGTATTGTATATATTTTCTAATATAATTATAATAATATTATTAATAATTTGTAATTTGTTTATAACATTTGAATATTAAGAAATTTTTACATTGAAAGGGCTAAATAATTAATTATAATGAAATTTATTTATAATTATTAATAATTGTTATATTTATAATTACTCAGTTAATTGATAATATATAGGATGTTAATATATATGTGTTATAAAGGATAAATCAATTCTAAAAAAAAAATACAAAATTGTATTAATATATTAATAAATATTAAGACTTATTTATATTTATTTAATCATTTTGAAGTTAAAAAAATGAAAACAGAAAAAAAATGAATCTACTTTATTATATCAATCGATATTTTTGTATATTAATTTTTATGTTTATTTTAAGTTTCAGGATCGATCTAAAAAATATACAACGAATATATTAACATTTTATATATATATATATATATATATATATAT